CACTCTCTGTGTGAGGAACTGGCAGTCGTGGCAGTGTGGCGCAGTGGTAACATGTCGACATTGTGCGCTATTCTACCGCAGCCTAAGTTTGATTCCCGCTTGAAGTGCTGCCAGATTGAGGCTGTAGTCGGATCCAGCCGGGCTAAAAATACCTTAGATGTGTCGATCCTAGTTGGTCTAAGGCGATGAAGGACCTGTAGTTGAATGTTTCCCAGGATAATATGAGTAGACCCTACGGTTGCGTTGGATTTGACGTGACTTTCTTTCCTAAAATCTATTCTCAACCATGACGGAGTGGACTGCAGTTTCAACCTCGCCTAGATCTTGTCAACACCTTCAGCGGGACTCGAATCATGAGAAGGCAGCGTAAAATCTCGAAACGTTATCCACTACGCCACACAGCATATATATATTTGATTTACTGGTGGTCTCGAAATACGCAAAATAAATAAGAATACCTTTTGTGAAGGAGGATGGTAGTTTCAAAATCTACTTAATACGAATATACTGCATGAGGTTGTTAAATGAGATTATGAGGTAGGCTCATATGATTGTGGCAAAATACATCAATCATTCTTTCAACATTTTATTACAACGAATCTTACCCAAAATGCACCACTAGTAGTCTGGCAATTTCCTAGTTGTGAATATGAATCATGAGATGTTCAATTCGGATTACAAAGTTAAGAATAACGACCCTCTTTGTAAGTTTAGTGCTTTAAAAAAATGTTGCTTTCCGACTTTAACTATGCTTATGACCGTCGTGAAGATGATAATTAATACCAACACGACCTAGTTGGGATCGCAGGACAGTCTTGAGACAACCCCACAGCTACAGACACTGCAAGAACAGCCGTATGCGGTGAAGAAATTTGGCAAATTCACGAATCCCTTCAATGCACGAGCCACCTTTTACAATCGTCAACATTGGCCTTTGTTCCCCATCCTAGGCACCTTTGACGTTAGAACAGTGGCAAAACGGAGGCAAAACGTCGAGACAGATGGCTTTACGAGAGACTTCCGAGTCGATCCGGCCGTGAACAAAGCAAGGGCCGGATGAAACGGGGAAAATGAGGGGACGAGAAGAGGTCTATAGTTATGCGTGCAGATGGTGCGCCCAACAGGACGACGGGGCAGCGGTGCAGACGAGGCGGCTTCTGCGACCACCGCAAGCTGACACGGCCCATCTGAAATGGAGGCAGGTTTTATCAGCAGAAAATCGTATGCCAGTTGTATGTCCAGTTCGGCCTGTTACTGTCTGCTTGTGTGGCAACGAGATGCGGCATCAAAAGCAAAAAAATCCGCCATAAAAAGGGGTCCGTCGGCCGAATGAAAATGCCGTCTACAGGCGGCCCGTGTGATTGGATAACAGGCCGAGGGGTTGAGTGAGTGAGCCGTATCGATCGGCTCGAAAGAGCACACAGGCTTGCCTTTCGGGCGTTTGTTCGGCGGTCCCATTTGTTCGTGACTCAGGCCCTACAACCTCGTGCCACGGCACAATAAGCCCAGCCAATAGGCGAATGAGCAGGCGTCATGGGACTTTGACAGCACGTCCTGCCGGCAAAGGAAACTGCGCCCGACGAGGCTTGTCGACGCCCCACCCCAAACGGAGCACACGTCATCCAATCCGGCAGGCAAGTTCGTCCCCCGACAGCCAAACAGTCTTTATCGGCCAACTGTCGGCAATACAGGCTAAATCGGCCGGATTACGTGTGTTGGCAGCACGGGTGGCAGAGTCATTGGTCTCATACAAAGGGGAA